GTATAACCTTGGGTGTTCTGTTGCAAGTACTGAATATCCGCATATACGATGTTCTACAGTCTGGGTTCAAGCGAATGTAATACTTTCTGTGGTTAGGCTGCAGATGGTTGGATGTTGTGTTGTTGTTTCTTCTTCTATTTTATCAACTATTCCTTCATAAAGTACATCATAAGATTTCAATTCACAAGTGTTGGTCGGTATTGGTTTCCAAAACATATCTCCAGAATCGTAGTCGATCCATGTTGAATCTACGAAATTGCATGTCGTTCCTGATGGTAATATTATTTTTCCTGAATCCATTTTAATTCTTGCCATTTGGTTTTTTAATTTAATTTCGATGGTTTTTTGAACAAATACGTTGGTCCAAGATCCATAAGGATCTGAATAAGTGGTTTCGTAGCAAGTTCCATCTGTTTCTGAAATTCCGGCCAGCGTGATTGTGCGATGAGTCGTAGAGCTTCGAGCTATTCCGGTTAAAGTTGCGGTGCCCAGAAATGAAATTCCTTCTTGATGTAGCCTTTGACATGATTCTCGAGTAGTTTCATGGATGTACATATTTAGCAAAATAGCCATTTTGTACCGCTGATACGTGAGAGTGCATTACACAATGCAGTATAATTCTTCTGATATTTACTTGACATTGTATAATTTCCGTGTGGTCGCATTCAGAGAGTTGGAGTAATTGTATATGAGTCTTCGTAGTCTTTACATTAGGTCCAGGTGATTTGCAATCATCCATATCCAGTAAAGATATTGTGGTGTGGTTCACGATCGGTCCCCCACAGTCGTATCCGATGAGGCCATTAGTAGTGTTAATTATCGCAATGATAATCAGGAGGTGTGTGCGCATTCTGTAAAGCATACCCGTTTTGCCAATTTACAGTTATTCTGGTGGACTATTTTATATTTATCTTTGACTTTCATTTTTTAATTATTTCTCGGTAATACTTCCGAAATCTGATATGGGCCTGTATATTGATTATCAAGTTTACTAGATGGTTCCTTTAATACATAAACCCCTTGCCCAGGGCTAAAAGTTTGTACGTTAATTTCTGCGTCATAATATTTTTTTGATTTTTCTTTTGCTTTTATCAGATTTTGGTGTTCCGCGGTTTGTACTTCATTTAGTACTTCGAATGAATTATTCAAATATTCAAAATATGTTGTTCCTATTCTGTCATCTATTTCTGGTTCAGAACTTGGTATTCTAGCAGTTCTTCCGAATACTAATTCATATGGTGTATAATTAGTTCCTCCAAGAACGCTAGTATTATACGAAAACATAGCGAGATCTAACCATGTATCCCAATCTCTACCCTTTTGTGTTTGTACTTTTAGATATTCCGATAAAACGTGATGTGATCTTTCTAATTATCCGTTTGATTGTCGTTTGTAAGCCGTTGATTTGTATTGTTTTATTCCAAATCGTTTTGCTATACAATTTATGAATGAGGAAATTAAATTTGCTCCTTGATCGGTAAGAATCGCTTTAAGTGCTCCGAAAACACAAATCAAACGTTTTAACATGGAATCAGCAATAGAGACCAAGCTTGTATTATTTAAGTGAACAGCTATGGAATATTTGGTTAAAAGATCTTGCATGGTTAATATGTACATGCTACCTGTAGTTGTAATGGGTAACGGTCCCATTATATCTATAGCTACCTTATCGAATGCATGGCCTGGTGTATCAGTTATTATCATAGGTTGTTTAGTTTTTACTCTAGTTAATTTCTTAAGTTGACAATTTTCACATACTTTTACATAATTTTGTACTTGTGTTTTCATATTTGGTCATATGTGTTTTGTTTTAATTCCTTCAAGAGTTTTTGTTGTACCTTTGTGTCCGTTAATTACTGAATTGTGTGTTTCTACAATTATTTTTAATCTTTCGTTCTCTGGGGATATCTTTAATTTTCTTTGACAATATGTAATTGTAATTCTATGATCACTGAATAACTCTACTATTCTTTTGTCTATTAAATACCATGATACATCTACTAACGATGGACTAATAGAAAACTAGAAAGATTTAATTCGTCTAGAACGTTCTTTATGATTCTAAGTCCGGTAATTATTTGGTTTGCGACTATTGGGGCTGTGCTTCTTTCTTGAATTGGAACAAAAATTAAATAATGATTTCCGTGAGTTTTCACTTTTGGTGTATTGGGAATGATTTCACTGACATCTGGCACAAGATTTGCCTCTTGCAATTCCTTAGTTCCTTCGCACGCAGGTGTACCCTGGTACGTTAAAAATACTACTAAATTATCTTTTTGAATTAATAACGGTTCTTTAGTTTTTACTACTTTTAGAAATTCATACTCTGGTGGTTCATCAAATATAATATCGATATCCTCAGGCTCATTAGAATTGATACGATTCCAATGAATCTTCGTCCCAGTCTTCGTACATGGTCGAATCTTCGTCAGGTGGTTCGGGAGGAACTTCGATGATTAGTTCCTCATCTTCCGGTGGATCAGGAGATACTTCATCAATTATTTCTCCATTGTCCAGTACTTGTTCAATTATATCCGAATCCTATGGAGTAGATGGTTCAGCAGTTTCAGGTTGGATTTCTTCGGTTTCTAATGATTGTTCAATTGGATCTGGTGAGGTAGATGGTTCAACTGGTTCAGGTTGAAGTTTTTGACGTTTCTCTTGTTGTTTTGTTTCTTCTAGTAATTCTTTTGATTTCCTCTTTCTTGGCGTGAATATTCCTTCTTCGTTTTGGTACTTCTTCTGATTCCCTCTTTTGCTGTTTTATAATTATTTTTTTTTGTGCTTCTGTGCTTTCCTCTTTATAATTTTGGGAGTTTATTCCCATGTGGATTCAGGACTGGTTACTCGAATTGTCTCAGTGCCGGTAATCTTCCCTTTCTAATGCCTGATCAAGAAGGGCCGTACACTGGTATAGAGCGGAATCATTTTGCGACTCCGTTCTAGAATTGTAGATTTATTTCTTCTTCGTAGATGTGGGTTTAATTACCCGGAGATTGTAGGATCCCGTCTTTGGGGATGTAGGAATCCGGCTCGGGACTGGATACCCTTGCATCGAATTTATTGTATGAATCCAGCTCGGGACTGGATACCCTTGCATCGGATATGTCTTTAGTGGCGTATGAATCCGATTTGGCACTGGATACGCTTGTAGTGGATTTGCCTTCAGTATCACAGTGTTTCCCATTCCCCATTCCTTCTAGGAGGGTCCGTACACTTTATTAACACTAGAAAGACTGAAACTTAGTATATACCTATATTGCCCAAAGCAGTCAAAATGACTGCATTGTGAAAGAATAAAAGTGTAAAGAAATTT